TGCCCAGACTGGTCTTGAACTCCTGACCTCAAGCAATCATCCTGCCTTGGTTTCCCAAATGCTGGGATTACAGGTGAGAACCACCATACCTGGTCCCAAAATTCTTACATTGAAACCTAGTCTCTAGCCAGGTGTGGTGGCTCATGCCTGTAATTCCAGCACTCTGGGAGGCTGAGGCGGGCAGATCACTTGAGGATGGGAGTTTGAGACCAATCTTGGCAACATGATGAGACCTTGTTTCTACCAAAAAAAAAAAAAAAAAAAAAAAAAAAAAAATATATATATATATATATATATATATATGAGCTGCGGTATGGTGGCACATGCCTGTAGTCTCGGTTGATATGGGAGGGTCGCCTGAGCCCAGGAGGTCAAGGCTGCAGTGAGCCGTGATCAGTGCACTCCAGGCTGAGCAACTGAGAGAGACCTCAACTCAGAAAAAATATACAGCATGCACCATAGTGGAAAACAGACAATCCTTGGTAAAAGAGATTGTATTACTGGCCCTACACAAGAAATGACTAGGAACATGAAGGGTCCAAATCGGAGAACCCATTCCAGAACTCCCCCTATTCCCGGAGAAGCTCAGGGTGGAGATGGTCAGAAGGTCATTAAAGGAAATTGGTCATCTTCCACACAATCAGTCTTCAGCTGAGCCCAACCAGCCGGTGCTTTCTAAAGTCCCCAGTGTCCTGTCACTATCTATGTAACTGGAAGGAAGAATGATACAGAGTTCAATATTCTGAAACTATTCTACTACAATGACAAAACAAATTAGGTACAAGCACCTGAAGCTAATAGTGCTGAAAGGCATATATAAGAATCTCGGTTTAGGAGAAATATTTTCTTTCTTTAAGCAAACTTGCAGGGACAATACAGGTTGACAGGGCCTCACATCTGAGATGAAAAATTCTTTTGCGCTAAACAGTTGAGCTAAACTGACTCTAGGGGTTGTGAAAGGGATGGCTGGCAGGCACTGAGAGAGGGCAGGGTGGTAAAGACTTGCAAAATTCTCACAATCTGCTTTCTCTCCCAGGTTGATCATCTATGGGGTTGCAGAGGTTACTGTGAGGAAAAGACCCACCCAACCTGTTTTCTCCAGAGTGAAGTAACTGGCCCCCTGAGCCTGGAGACTGTGGTCCTGACTTGGGCAGCCCTTAGGGCCTTGAGTTCATCCAAAGAAGTAAGGGAGATCTGGAGCTTCCAAGATCTCAAAATAAAAACCCCAGGGGACTTCTCATCTCAGAAAGAAGCCAGGAACCAAGAGTCAGCTACCTACTGGTTATGTTATCCAGCATGAATAGTACTCCCCAGCCTTAAGACTGTCTTTGAGAACAGAAGAGAAGAGGTGACTGACTGTATTCCATTCTAAAGCCTATCTGGAGGAGACTAGCACCTCAGAGTGCCCCGTAAGGAAAACAGCAGCAGCTGTGGGACTGGGCTGGGTCACAGATACCTGCAGAAGGCCACCTCTGAGCAGAGTTCCCTGCCAGGCTGGAAGGAACTCAGGCAGCTCCCAGGACACACCCAAAGCGCTACCTCTGCAGTGACACTCCTGGGTGTGAAGTCTTCCTCCTCCCCCAGCTCCTACGAGTCCTTCCAGAGCCTCCTCAGGCCATGAAACTTCGCTGAATGCTAGGTGCCAGGCACTGAGCACCGGGCCCGGGATACAAGGGAAAGTACAGTAGAGCCCCTGTCCTCAGACTAGCCTAACACACAGGGCATCACAGAAAGGCCCCCTCTCCTAGCCCAGCTCTTTTGTGCTAGGAATTACTTCTACAGAGTACACTTCTGTTCTGACAACTATAAATTAGTCTTCCTGCTTCTCAGGGAGCTCCAAGAGGGCAGGGAACAACTTAGCCATCTCCGTTTCTCTAGTACCAGGCACAGTGCTCCTAAAGGTAGACTCAAACAGCTGAAAGGTGAAGAGGATGCCCAGTTGTCCAGCTAGAGGCTATTAAACTGCAGAAAAGAGTCAAACTCTGCAAGAAATAAAGACCGGGTGCCGTGGCTCATACCTGCCATCCCAGCACCTTGGGAGAAGGAGGCAAGAGGATTGCCTGAGCCCAGGGGTTCGAGACCAGTCTGAGCAACTTGGTGAGACCTTGTCTCTACAATAAATTTAAACCGAACAAACAAACAAAGAAATAAAATTAGCTGGGTGTGGTGATGTGCGCTTGAGGTTTCAGCTACTTGGAAGCCTGAGACAAAAGGATTGCCTGAGTCCAGCAGGTTGAGGCTGTGGTGGCCTTGAGTGTGCCATGGCACTTTAGCCTGGGTGAGAGTGAGTCTCTGACTCAAAAAAAAAAAAAAAAAAAAAAAAGAGAAAAGAAACAAAGGAAAGGGTGTTTGAAGAACAAATACATGCCTTATCCATCTTCTTCTCTGCCTCTTCCTTCCTGGAGTTGCTGTTTTCCTGGCTTTGTAACTGCTCTTCACTAGGGGCTCTAAGTGGTCACACAGTCCACACCACCAAACCCTAGTCCCACCCCCAAGGGACTATCCTTCATCCCAAACAGGCCCCATTTAACAAGACCTCAGCCTCCAAAAGGACTTCAGTACTTTCCTTTTTGCTAAAAATGCCAGCAGGCTCCAAACACAGTGGGCTGCCTCGCGAAGCAGATTCTGCCTACCCTGGCAGGCTAACAAGGGGTGGATGCGTAGGTAAACAAGACAGGCAGTCTTAGCATGGCTTTGTTTTCACCATGCAACTGAAATAAACTCTTATTGAGACTTGTAGGTCCCATGTGAGCGGGTTCCAGCCTCCCTCCAAAGTCAACTCTTTCTCTCTCTGGCATCTCTCTATTCTTTTCCCTGGCTGGGAACTTTGTCTCCCAGGCTCTGCTTTCTTTCTTTCTTTTTTGTGGTATATTAACTATTTATTTGTTGTCAATTATTTATTTGTTATTTTAAGACAATTCTCTTAGAACAGTTTGAGGTTCACAGCAAAATTGAGCAGTAAAAAAACCTTTTATTTACTTTTTTTTTTTTTTTTTTAGAGACGGTGTCTTGCATGTTGCCCAGGCTGATTTCAAGCTCCTGGCCTCAAGTAATCCTCTCACCTCAGCCTCTCAAAGTGCTGGGATTACAGGCTTGAGCCACACCACCTGGCCTTTTTTTAGTTTTAAGACATAGGATCTCGGGCAAACCCCTCGGGTCCCTCCCACTGTGGGAGCTTTTCTGTCCTTCCAATAAATCTTGCTTTCAAGAGAAAAAAAAGAAAGAGAGATAGGGTCTCACTCTGTTACCCAGGCTGGAGTGTAGTGTCATGATCATAGCTCAATGTAACCTCAAACTCCTGGGCTGAAGCGATCCTCCCAACTTAGCCTCCCAAAGTGCTGGGAATACAGGTGTGCATCTCTGTGCTTGCCCCCTAAGCTCTGCTTTCTTTCTTTCTTTCTTTTTTTTGTGAATCAGTCTCATTCCGTTGCCCAGGTTGGAGTGCAGTGGCACACTCACAGCCACCCCAGAGTCGACCAGCTGGGCTCCAGCGATCCTTTTGCCCTAGCCTTCCAAGTAGCCAGAAGTACAAGTGCATGCTACCACACCCGGCAAATATTTGTTTTGTTTTTGAGTTAAAGTCTCACTCTGTCACCCAGACTGGAGTGCAGTCGCTGCTGCTGGCCACCGCATCCTTAACCTGCACAGCTCCTGCGATCCATCCACCTCAGCCTTCCAGTAGCTGGAACTACAGGCGCATGCTACCACGCCCGGCTATTTTTTTGATTTATTGTAGAGATGATGTCTCGCCAAGTTGCCCAGGGAGGTCTTGAATCCGCGGGCTCAGGTGATCCACTCACCTCAGCCTCCCAAAGCGCGGGATTACAGGCTGAGCCACCGAGCCCGGCTAAATTTTTGATTTATTGTAGAGATGAGGTCTTGCTAAGTTGCCTGAGCTGGTCTCAAACCCACAGGCTCAGGCAATCCACTTGCCTCGGCCTCCCAAAGTGCTGGAATTACAGAGCCTGGCCAGCTCTGCTTTCTTTGCGCTCTTTCCCACTTGAGGGCCTCTGAAGGTGCTGTCCCTTTTCCATGACTGCTCTCTGCCACCTGGCTTCCATTCAATCCCTTCCCCTATAGCTTTTATTGCAATTTATACTTAATTTTTGCTACTTACTACCTCTCCCCCAAGCCATGAACTTGAGAGCAAGGGCTGTGTCAGCACCCAGCTCAGTGCTTTGCACATAGGGTCCAATAAATATTTACCAAATTCATGAAAAAAAGGGGTCCTCCATTTCTTTCTTTTTTTTTTTTTTTTTTT